GGCAGAGAACACCATGAGAGCTTTCTCCTGCATGTGTTCTAAACCCTAATTCTACCACCCTTAATAGATGTTAAGTTTAAAAAAAACTGTAAAATATTTTAAATTTAAGCATAATCAATTAATGGGAACACCACAAAGGTGCTGTCAAATAATACTAAATATAAATAAAAGCTCTGGCCAAAGACACACTATCATTCATATAAAGTGTCCTAATTACTATTTTTTTTTAAAAGAAATACAGTGAGAGCAATGTTTCCGGGCATTTGGGGGTGGTGTGTTCACTAGAGGCAGTTACTATAACAGACAGGCCATCAAACCTGATCAACTCCTCACTGACAGAGCAGGAGCCTCATAGGAGTTGCTTGTGCAAAAAAAAAACATTGTTACTGTCAACTGGTCATTTCTAGCTTTGAATGAAATGTCAATCTTTACTTCTAAGAAACTGGTTTGTCAAAAACAACTGCCATTTCCTTTTTTCTTTGTTTCATATTGTTTCTTAAATAAGGCCTGGTGTGCTCAATTACTTGGAGGGGTGAGGTCTTATGGGAAAGTTTGGATAGAAAATACTAGAGGTGTCAGTCATTCCAACTGGATTAGAGAGAGCCAGGGTGCCAAGGGGGATACAGTGAGAACAATAGCTTTGGCCAGTAGGTAGGATGGTCCCCCCTTATCTATCACTGTGCCCAAGGCCAAATCTGAGTTTCTTAATGAGCACATCACATCCTTTCTGATCTGGGGCTTGTCATCTTTCATTACAAAAAATGCTTGCTGTATTAAAAAAATAAAACAATGACTTAGTCTGGGAATATCTCAGAAGACCCCAAGTAGCTTTCCAATCAATGATTACCGGATGTCCTCAATCTCAGAAGAATAGTTTAAGTTATTAACATATTCATGAAGCAACATTTTTACCTGTTATGAATATATAGGTGATGCTTCCTTTCAGTCTTTTCAACAACTCCTTCTGGCCCAGGGTTTTCTATTGCTGCTGTCTTCTCTCACTTACGAGCCACTCTTCTGCCCACCAACCTTGATCCCTCTCTGTGGAAAATTTTACCTCTTTGCTAGTATCTCTGGCATCTCTATACATGAAGGCATATTGTACATTTAGTATAGACTCCATAAAAATATTATTATACCTTTATTAGGAAAATGTGGAAAAGGAAAAAATCAAGTAAAGTTTATCTTGAGACAACATACATAAATTTTGAATGCAAACAGAAATTTTACTTTTCGTACTCAGCTAAGTCGCTCCCAGATTTTTGACCCTCTGAAACTGCAAGATAATATTTGTTGTTTTAAGCTATAATTTTTCATTATTCAGCAACAGATAACTATTATCTGATGAGACAGATTAATATAAAAGTTGGGAAACTAAAGCTCTAAGGCAAGTAACTATTTTTGTAAATGTTTATTGGAATACAGTCATGCCCATTCATTTACATATTGTCTGTGACTGCTTTCACACTACAACAGTAAGTTTAAGTGGCTGTGACAGAAACTGTAAGGTCTGCAAAGGCTAAATTATTTACTATTAGTTCTTGATTGATAAAATATAGAATTACAGAAGAAATGTGGTTTGAAATGTCTAGACTATTAATTTGAAAGAGGAATCTCAGAAATACATTTTCCTTTTTTGCAGGTTAAATAACTGTGACTTTAAGAAGTAGGTGGCCTAAATGACATCATATAACTAATAGCAAAGCTGGACAAGAAGTCTAAGTTCTCTATAGTCTAAGTGTTTGTGTCTCTCCCCTATCTCTGAAAAAATAAATTATATGTCAAAATCTGAATGCCCAAAGTGATGGTCATTAGGAGGTGGGGACTTGGGAAGGTGATTAGATCATGAAGGCACAACCTTCATGAATGAAATTAGTGCTTTAATAAAAGATACTCAAGAGAGACCCCTCACACCATTTCACCATGTGAGAACATGGGAAGAAGGTGCCATCTATGAGCCAGAAAGCAGATGATCACCAGACACTGAATTTACTAGTGCCTTGGTCTTGGACTTCCTGGCCTCTAGAACTATGACAAATAAATATCCGTGGTTTCTAAGCCACCTATATTATGATAGTTTGTCATAGCAGCCTAAATGGAGTATTACATCTACCTCCCAATTCAGCGGTTTCTTCAATACCCTATACTACCTTCCCTAAGATAAGTCACCAATCAATGTATTTTTTCATCACTAGTCTACTGAGTTACTTTAAGTAAGTCACTGCAGGCCCCTTTACTCAATTTCCTGTAGCAGTACTGTAGTATCACTAATGTGTTATCAACTTCTTAATGGATGACCATATTACTTGATATACTTAAGTTCATTTAAAAGTATATGAAAAAGAAAAAATGACATATTACAGAAAACCCCATAGAAAAGGTCACCTAGCACTAAGAACAGTTATTCAATTTAATTTTATTATTTTTAGTCCTGTTCAGAGATACAATAATTGAAAGTGGTAAGCTGAACGTGTATACTTATTTTCAAAAATTACCTGCTGAATTATGTATAAATCCTTTTATAAGAGAAAGCAAATAAACAGCACCATTTCAACTTCCTGTGTCCATAGTCGACATTGTTAACCAAATACAGCATTCTTACCCACTGAATCAGGTTACAGTCTCAGAATAATTCTCAATATCACATTTCAGGAAACTATCATCATTCAGTCAAAATTGGCACCTGAGTTAAAACTTATGCACTTTCTCTGACATAGAGAACACCTTGCCATACAGTAGCCTTTTTACAGCATGTGTAGATATACGTTGGTTTTAGATTTCTTTTTAAAACTGATTGGCTACTGATTTACTGAAATAATTTAACTTCAATCCGTTTAAGGCAGCTCCAAGGCACACATGTGAGACACAGTACTAATAGGACATTGTATTTGAGAAAGGATTTGGGATTCTGGTTTAAATTCACTGCAAGGTTTAGTTTAAATGCAACTTACTCCACGAACCTTTCCCTGATGTATGGAGTATGTCCTGGTTTGCCTGGGTGATACAAGTTTGTTTCTCTTATCCTGCCACAATTAGTAACCATACCCCCTTTTACTCTCAGTGGTGTCCCATGAAAAAATTACATGGCTATCCTATTGATGACCCAATTTGGATGAGGTCTCTTTTGTCTCTAAAATTCCTATAATACTTAATGGCTCAAATGTGACAAATTTATCTTATATAGTAGCCACTTCTAGTTATAATTTATCCTCCCACAACCCACTTTCCAGTCTGGATTACAAACACTTTGAGGAAAGTTGTATTTTACTATTCATGGTACCTAAAATAGAGATGCAATAGATACAAATCCCATTACTTTTTTGATCCTAGTGCCTCACACATACTAAACTCAAAGAGACAACTTGTTGAATTAATAAATACTTGAGACTGTAAACTCTTTTACAGCTAAAACTAACCTCATTCATCTTGATTAACCTCACAGAGGCACAGGGCTTTGGACATTATCTGCATTTACAAAATTGTTTGAATGAACAAATACACACAGTACAATTTTTCTTATGTTGTCCTTTAAAACACTACAGAGAAATAAACTGGCAAAAGCTAATTAATTAAAATATCAACTAACATGTACCAAACAAGAGTAGCATCTTTTCTTACTCTCAGTTCATTTAAGTGGTTGACTGAAATATAATTCAGTCTCTTTGTCTGAGTATTTGGCATGCTAATTAAGAAGCATTGGGTCAATGGTGGCCCATCTCTGAAAATAAGACATAGATCTGATGACCTCTGAAGTCTTAGGTGACACATCTGGGAAAGCTGTTCTGACAAAATGGGACTCAGAATATGAACTATGCCTGGAGGTCACAAAATTCAGTCTATAGTGGTCAAGTTCAAGGTTTAGCTTAATATCAAAATATCCAACATTCCAAAATGGAAAAAACTAAGGCTAAGAGGCCACACTAATCAGTACTTACTGGGGTCAGAAACATCCTGGGAATTGTCTTTCATGATGCAACTTAACTACATTCCTCAAATTCCAGCTTTCATACTTAGCACGTCATCTAGCATGCTCCAAACATCACTCTCATAGCTCCACAAACATTATTTACAGGCCTCAACCTTTCTTTGCTGAGCAGTTTAAGTCAGCTTAGATATTCAGACAAGTCATTTCAACCAGCAAGATGTCCTGATTCCCAAAGAAGCAGCATTTTTTCAATTTCCTGTGGCATTTACTTGGACTTGGAACCTTCTCTATGCACCATAGTTTACTCAAAAATGGACCTAATCCAGCAATCCCACTACTGGGTACCTCCCAAAGGAAAAGAAGTCATTATATTTAAAAAGATGCTTGTGCACACATGTTTATAGGAGCACAATTGCAAAAATATGGAGCCAACCTAAATGCTTATCAACCAATGAGTGGATAAAGAAAATGTGGTGTATATATATGTATACACACATACACACACACACACACACACACACCACGGAATAACACTCAGGCATAAAAAGGAATGAAATAATGGCACTCACAGCAACCTGGATGGAGACAGAGGCCATTATTCTAAGTGAAATAATTCAGGAATGAAAAACTAACTAACATAGCTAAGCCATGAGGACATAAAGGCATAAGTATGATATAATGGACTTTGAAGACTCAGGGCATGAGAGACAAAAGACTACACATTGTGTATAGTGTACACTGCTCATGGGATGAGTGCACAAAATCTCAGAAATCACCATGAAAGAACTTGTCTGTGGCATCGCCACCACTGCCACTCAGCCACGACCATGGCTACCTCCTGCCCTGCAGCTGCCGCCACTGCCTGTGTTGCCACTGCCTCGACCAGCTGTATGATTAGGCCACAGACTTCAATAAGTAAATATATTCTTCAGTTCTGTGGTGTTCTTGGTCAATATTCCTGGAGTTTCTGAAGGTCAGTGGAGATTACTGCCAGGCACAGCCCAACCTCTATGCAGAGAAGTGAACTGAAGAAATTGATTACTAATCCACCAAGAAGCCCCCATAAGAGTGGTTATCCTGGATACAGAGTGTTGAGTTGAAATTCATAGGGCATTTTATAAGAGTTCTGACCTAGATGGGGTAAACCTCAGTGCATTTCTTTTCTGTTACCTCAGTATTACTGGATTGAAGAATTGCTGCTTGTTGTTAGGAGGTTCATTTCATTTGTCATTACATACAACTTTATACTCAAAGCACTGAGAATTTCAAGTGGAGTGTATTGAAGTAGACTTCAGTTTCTTTGCATCATTTCTGTGTTCAGTTTTTTAAATTATTTCATAAACCTACTGAATGTTTTTTAACTAAATTAATATGGCTCGAATGAACCGCCCAGCTCCTGTGGAAGTCACATACAAGAACATGAGATCTCTTATTACATGCAATCCAACCAATGTGACCTGAAACAAATTTATAGAGGAGCTTCAGAAGTATGGAGTTACCACAAGAGTAAGAGTGTGTGAAGCAACTTATGGCTCTACTCTTCCAGAGAAAGAATCCATGTTTTCAACTGGCCTGTTGATGATGGTGCACCACCATCCAACCAGATTGTTAATAACTGACTGGTTAAGTTTTGTAAAAATTATGTTTTGTGAAAAACCTTTGTTGTTGTATTGCTGTTCATTGCATTTCAGGCCTTGGGGTAGCTCCAGTACTTGTTGCCCTAGCATTAATTGAAGGTGGAATGAAAGATGAAGATGCGGTGCAATTCACAAGACAAAAGCAGCATGGAGCTTTTAACAGCAAGCAACTTTTGTATTTGGAGTACTACCCTAAAATGCGGCTGCCCTTCAAAGAGTCCAACGGTCATAGAAACAACTGCTGTATTCAATAAAACTGGAGCATCTAATGCTATTGGAAGTGGAACTTGAGATAGGACCTAATTTGTTATACATATTAGCCAACATGTTGGCTTCTGAGTATGTCTAACGAAGCTTCCATAGGAATACTGAAAGACAGTTTTATCAGGTCACAAGATAGACAGATTTGGCAACCTCTGTGTTTGGGTTACATGCAATCTATTTGGACAGTTGGCAAAAGATTCTTGGTGTCAGCATATAAAATATTCTTGTCATTTGTACCAATTGACCTTTCCGAAAATTAGGCAGTATTGAATTACGACTTGTTTAAATCTATTCCCACATCAGAATCTTATGAATACATAGAAATTTAGGAAGATTAGGTGCCAAAATACCCAGAACAATACTTGCAAACTTTTAGTATCATACAGAACTAAAATCCCAGGAACTATGAACACTCTAGACCTCATGTGGTTTATTCCTTCAATCATTTCAAACATTGAATATAGGATGGCCAGGTGTGGTGGCTTATGCCTGTAATCCCAGCACTTTGGGAGACTGAGGTGGGTGGATCATGAGGTCATGAGTTTGAGACCTGCCTAACCAACATGGTGAAATCTGTCTCTACCAAAAATACAAAAATTAGCCAGGTGTGGTGGCACGTGCCTGTAATTCTAGCTACTCAGGAGACTGAGGCAGGAGAATCATTTGAATCCGGAAGGCGGAGGTTGCAGTGAGCCAAGACTGTGCCACTGCACTCCAGCCTGGGTGACAGAGCGAGACTCTGTCTCAAAAGAAAAGGTAGGGCCTACGTGGTTATTTGCCTTGGTCACTTTATGTTACCTCTGACTATATTCATACCAGTATATATCAGGTTTGCTTAACCACTGATTTTTTTAATCAAGTTTTACAGTGATTATTTAATATGTTTCTATAAATCTCACTTTGTGCTGTTATAAAAAATCTCCATTTTGAAAATTTACATTGTACAGAAGCACATCTTCAATGTGTCCAGACCAAAAAAAAAAAAGCATTACAGTTAATTTAATGTTTGCACTTGGAGGTGCAACTTAAGAGGGAGAGCCTGAGAAAAGAATGGAAGAGGGCTGTTAATTATTTTTAGCAAAATGTTGCCTTTGCCTTATGCTGAACATGTAGAACATACTCTTTAATTTAGCAAAATATTTTTTAAGGTAGGGATACTTGGTTATCGTAATCATAAACTTACTGAAATTCTTGTGATTTTTTTCCATACTTATCAGAAGTTGTTTACCAACTTACTTTTGTTTGAAGGTGTGATTTTCTTTCCTTCTCTTCCCAACCTCTCTTGCAAAAAAGGAAGTGAGTTTCTGCTAATGAATTGAGCAGACATCTAATGTTTTATATGCCTTTTGAGCTGTGTAACTTAATATTTGGATACTTGATAATTTATTTTATTATGTAATGAATAAAATGGTGATGTGTAATAATGCTAGTTCAACCATGTATTTATACTTTCTGGGGATATGTGGTTATAGTTCTGTGGGAGAAATAATTTGACAGTGTTCACCGGCTTGTAAAAACTTAGTGCGACAGCTTAAACATCTAAATAAATAATGAAATGCAAAAAAGAAAAAAAAGAACTTGTCCATGTAACCAAAAACCACCTGTTCCCCAACAACTGTTGAAATAAAATGAAATAATGAACGAAATCATTAAAAGTCATACCTGAAACCCTGCATAGTCACAATATGAAGTTTCTAGAAACCTGAGAAGGCCCTTGCATGAAAACCGACAAGGAAAAATTAAGGAAGAAACACAATCTCAAATAGTTTGCTTAATTGCTAGCCATCTTTTCAGGTTTTCATATGTAATAACTGTGATCATTCAATGGGCTTCAAGCAAGGATGACTTAACCCCAGATCCTGCTACAAGACAGTACATGGCCTAATTAAGTTACCTTCCATATCTCTAGGAAAATGACTAAGTTAGACCCTCCATGTGGCAATAGATGGGTCACTCTGATCTCCATTTGACACTTAGTAAAGGCTGGTAAGTCAAGAAGCAAGTTCGAATTGAAGAAAAGAAAAACAAAGTGCCTCCTCTCATTTCCCCCTTTCCCCTCACTATCCGACTGCCTTATGTCCCTTACCCTCCCAGCCTGGCTTGTGGGTTGGGTTAGTAGCTTACTCATTCTTCAAAGTGGAAAACTGCCTATTCCAGAAAAAGGACACGGCTTTCTCAGTCCACTCATCATTGGAGTTTTCCCTTATTTCCAAGCCTCTCCTGTGGCAATTGCAATGAAGCATGGTGTATGGCTCTTTGTTTTCTTTAAGTCGGGACTTGCAGGCTGCAAGAAGAGATGCTGTTTGGTCACCAAGCCTGCAGCCTTTCTGGGGGCCGCACCATGGACAACCCTGAGCAAGCCCGTTCTAACTTCCTGGAAGTCACATTACCCAAAAATTTGACAGGCGGCTCTAGGCTTTACTCTTATTCTGAACTTTTCTTCATACCCTCTTCACATGTGATCAGGCTCCTTATTTTTCTCCTTCCCCAGCATCATCTACTCTATTAATGATGACATAAAACTAGATGGAAGAAACACTGTGATAAACCTATGGCCACATAGGCAAGGGAGTCTACTAAGAAAGAAATCTATGGTTTCAAACTTCTCCTTCTGATCCTCAAAAGATAGTTTTGAGTCTATGGAGTGAAGTGGAGACACGAAATGAAATGAAGAAACAGAGGCATAGACTTAGACATAGTGTCCTCTGCCTCTTGCCTAATGGCTTGGGTAGCTGAGTACAGTGCAGTTGGGAAACAGACAAGAGTCAGATGACAGCTCTTTGGATTAGATTATTGGATCTAATCCAATAATCAACTGGCTCTGTAATTTGAGAGAAACTTCCTCATCATAAAATAAAATAAAATAATTGAACTAGATGGTCTCCAAGGTCCAGCAGTGATGTTCTGACTCTGAGTGGGCTCATTATGTCTTTCAGAATTTACCTTGGTTGTACCTCCTTAGAGGTTTGCAGCAGCTGGTTTTGAAGTTGCTTTTTTTTTTCCCACAATGACTTGTGAAAGAAGGAAACAGAGTTAGACTTACAAGTTTCCTTCACATTTCAGTGCTTGAAAATTGACTGGAAAGAGGCTAGTGTAAACGACCTCCACTCCCCTCAAGTTTCTGCCCTGCCTGCCAGCAATCTTCTCCCTTCCAAGAGACTATTGCCTTCTTCTTCATCAAGATGATCAAGGCTACCAGGAAAACCTTCCTCTAATCTCTGCATGCCAACAACTCATAAATCTGCATCTACCCTTCACTCATTCCTTCCAGTCTCAGAGAAACGTGTGTCCTTTCTTCAGTTTGTGTCTGCCACTAGTGCTTGGATTCTGACTCCCTTCCTCTCTGACCTCCAGAAAAGGGCTACTCTCTTGATTCCTCTTCTTTAAAATTGTTCTGGAATAAAATTATTCCAACCCTTCTAGAAAAGGTCATTGAGGATATAAAGTGGCCCTTTTCTTGTGCTTATGAGCAGAACCAAAATTGATTCTTTTTAAGATGATATTGGACTTTTATATATTGTTCAGAACATTGCTCATTATACTACATAGCTTCCTCTATATGTGGTCCCCAGGAGAAATTTTTTTGTTTTTTTGAGGCAAAGTTTCACTCTTGTTACCCAAGATCACGCAATGGCGCGATCTCGGCTCACTGCAACCTCTGCCCCCCAGGAGAAATTTCTGTCCAGTATGACTACCTATGGCAGTAGTTGTCTTGAGCAGCTGTTTACTTACATCTTGTAAACAGAGTAAACAATGTAACTTATCCTACCTCCCTGTTTGTATTGATTCTGGGAGGCTCAGAACTGAATCAGTGGCGTCGCTCCAGCAGTCTAATACATGGGCAATCACTTTGTATTGAATCACTGAATCACTTTGTATTGATTGAATCACTGAATTTGCCACTGCTTTAGTCTTTTCTTTTTTCTTTTTCTTTTTCTTTTTTTTTTTTTTTTGAGATAGGGTCTCACTCTGTCACCCAGGATGGGTCACCCAGGCTGGAGTAAAGAGGTGCAATCTTGGCTCACTGCAACCTCTGCCTCCCAGTTCATGTGATTCTCATGCCTCAGCCACCCAAGTAGCTAGGATTATAGGCGTGTGCTAACACACCCAGCTAAGTTTTGGATTTTTAGCAGAGACAGAGTTTCACTATATTGGTCAAACTGGTCTTGAACTCCTGGCCTCATGTGATCTGCCCATATCAGCCTTCCAAAATGCTGGGATTAAAGGCATGAGTCACCACACCTGGCAAGTCTTTTCTTATGCCTCCTCATTCTCCCATTTTAAATTCATATTATTTTAAATTGTTGTATTATATGGACATATAAAATCCAACTCAAGTCCTACCTGCAAAAAGGTATGCTGTAACTAGCACCTAAACAGATTAATAGATACTTCTTTCAGAGTCCTTTTATTTAGAAATATGTATCAAAATATATAAGGATTTCTCTAGACATGGAATAAAATTCAGATGAGTTAATGAATGAATGGATACATGAATAGAATAAATGAAAGAAAGTAAAACTATAAAAGGCATTGGAATAAGCCTTAGAAAAAGATTATTGGATTTGGGTTTTATTATAATATTGGCCACAATAAAGTCTTGAAATAAGATAAGCCACTCAAATTTATCTCATTAAGATGCTCTAATAACTCCCCAAGAATGCTATAGGTAGGAGAGGTTATTACTGCATAGGACATCTTCATTACGTATCTTTATCAACGCTACTTGTGGTGGACCAGGCTACTAACAGAAGAAAAAAAATGTGATTTTATCAATTTACTGACTAAGGAGCTATGATCATACAGAAAGGTACAGAAATGAAAGAATTAGGGATGATGACTTTTCCCATTATATTAAAATCTATGGAAAATGGATAGAACAAACTATTGAACAGAATAGTTACATAGAATCATAAGCATTTAGTAAAAGTATTAGGTGCCACATGAAGTTAGTCTGGATAACTGTCATTTTAATATTGGACTGTGAATGCCCCATAATGCTACCTTATTTTCACGGTTAATGGCTAGGTCATTGAACAAATGGCAGTTATTATTATGGTTATTATCCTAAATCTTCTTATAGATGCCAGATGTCAATTCTCTGTGACATTATGCCCCCGTATAATATACTCTCTCTTCTGGTCTCACTACCCATCTTTCAAGAACAGCCTCAAATCCCATTCCCTCCCAGATTGAGTCCTTCAAGTCAGAAAACACTAAACATATAAATGGTTTTTAAAATGATGATTTTGATGACAGTGTACAGAGTTAATTTTAAGTTAACATGGAGGGAGCCTGAAAGTAGGAAAACAAGTTGGTTAGTTATCATAAAGATTCAGACTTGGGGGCTAAAGATAATTAGATAGCACTTGGCTTTATTCTACTCAGTATTGCAATTATATGCATA